ACAGGATGGGGGCAGCATGGGGCAAAGATTAGATGTGGAGAGTCAGGAGACAATTGCAGTGGTTAGGTTAAAGATTTTTTCTTTTTTGAGACAGGGTCTCACTCCCATTGGCCAGGCTGGAGAGCAGCAGTGCAAGCTTGCTCGCCGCAGCCTTGGCAGCCCAGGCTTGAGTGATCCTCCCACCTCAGCCCCCCAGTCTCTGGGACTACAGGCACGTGCCACCACACCCAGCTAATGTTTGTATTTTTTGTAGAGACAGGGTCTCACTATGTTGCCCAGGCTGGTCTCGAACTTCTGGACTCAAGCAAACCATCCGCCTCAGCCTCCCAAAGTGCTGGGATTATAGGCGTGAGCCACTGCACCCAGCCAGGTTAAAGATTCTTAATTTTGGCTACATTCCTTGGAGTTTTAAAAAATCTGGACACCCAGGCTATACCTAATAACAGTTAAATCAGAGTATCTGGATGCAAAGTGGCAAGGTGGCGATCCCAGGCATCAGTAGTTTTCAAAACTCCCCAGATAATTCTATAGTGCAGCCAAGTTTGAGAACCAGTGATTTAGGCAACAGATGACGGGTGTCAGCAGTAGATTTAGATACATTTGAGAGATGCTTAGGTGGCAATAATTGTAGAAACAACAATAGGCAGGCAAAGGGCTGGTCTGCAAGAGGCTTGACAAGGATTCCTTGGGGAAGAGTTTTTCACAGAATAAGAGAAAGAATATTAAATTGTTTATCAAAGTATAGGCTGTTATCCTAACCATTTGGCCAGTGTTTGATCCGATTCTCAGGGTAGAAGATATGTCTGGATGAGCAAGGATGTGTATTTCATGTTCAGTTCTCTGAGGTGTCTGATTAAATATAGACCATGATAGATCATGGCTATTGCTTAAGAAATTCTTCCTTAGTTAAAATTATTTCTCGGCACACATAATTTCACTGATTTCCTTAGGAAGCATTTGTTGGGCACTGACTGTGCAAGACACAGTGGAGGATACGGAGAAGGCTCTGTTCCCAGAGAATGGGAACAGAGCCTGGGAGGCCGAGATGGACCCTCCGAAGAAAGTTACCCCTGTATTACTTACCGCAGTGCCAACTAATGCAAATAAGTCATTTTTCCAAGATAAAATACGTGTCTTTACCAACGGCATGGTCCTTAGGCTCGCTGACTCTCAATATTCTCATCTGCAAAAAGGATAAAAATAGTACCTCCCTAATAGAATTGAAATATCCATATAAAGAATTTAAGTGGCTGGGCGGGGTGGCTCACACCTGTAATCCCAGCAGTTTGGGAGGCTGAGGCGGGAGGATCACAAGGTCAGGAGATCCAGACCATCCAGGCCAACATGGTGAAATCTGTATCTACTAAAAATACAAAAATTAGCTGGGTGTGGTGGCACGCATCTGTAATCCCAGCTACTCGGGAGTCTGAGGCAGGTGAATCACTCGAACTTGGGAGGTACAGATTGCAGTGAGCTGAGATCACATCACTGCATTCCAGCCTGGTGACAGAGTGAGGCTCTGCCTCAAAAAAAAAAAAAAAAAAAAGCTGCCCTGTTGAATTGGAAAAAAAAAAAAAAAGAATTTAAGCGTTATGCCTGTATGTAATATTACTTACTATACCTTCAAAAATGTTAGTTTCTGTTAGTATTATTGATCAAGAATAAATATATGCCATAATAAATATCTGTAAAAGACTAATGCAGTTAAGTTCTAAAATCAGTGCACAAGGTAAAAATCACACATGATCAAAGTTATCCTTGAAAAATCTCTTAGACTGGCCAGGTGCAGTGGCTCACACCTGTAATTCTAGCACTTTGGGAGGCTGAGGTGGGTAGATCACTTGAGGTCAGAAGTTTGAGACCAGCCTGGCCAACATGGTGAAACCCCATCTCTACCGAAACACACACACACACACACACACACACACACACACACACACAGACACACACAAATTAGCCAGGCATGGTGGCCCATGCCTATAGTCCCAGATACTCAGATACTCTGGAGGCTGAGGCAGGAGAATTGTTTGAACCCCAGGAGGAGGAGGTTGCAGTGAGCCAAGACTGCACTTCTGCACTCCAGCCTGGGCAACAGAGTGAAGGAAACTCCATCTCAAAAATCAAACAGACAAAATTTCTTGATTGTTGAAGAGTGATTATACTAAATCATCAAAATATTTGGAATACCTGGAATTCTCAGCAAGGTGATTAAAGTTTCTCTGTGGCTATCAACTAATTCTTCATATATTTTTCCAACAATGACTTTCAAAGGAGTCACCACCACAAATCCACACAAACAATAATTGCATTTTGTCAGATGGTAAGGAAATCCAAAAAATCATTTCACACTTTCTTTCCATAACATCCCTGATCTGTGTAGCACGTTTCAGGGTTGATAACACCCACTGTTCTCACATTTACTGTTGAGTTCACCCAGTTAAATTGTGTATGATTCAACCCCATTGTACATCCTACAAGGATCATGAAGAGCTGCTGAGTGGAATTCCTCACACTTATAAACTACTTTATTATATTTCCAGAACACAGCATACTTAGAGATAAGATGGACCCTCAGAAGAAAGTTACCCTTGTATTACTTACCCCGGTGCCAAATAATTCAAATAACTCATTTTTCCAAGATAAAATATATGTCTTTACCAACAGCATGGTCCTTAGGTTCTCTGACTCTCAATATTCTCAACTGCAAAAAGGATAAAAATAAGTGGCTGGGTGCGGTGCTCACGCCTGTAATCCCAGCACCCTGGGAGGCTGAGGCATTGCTATTTGACTCCATAGTAAACCTTGGAAAGTCATGTCGTTGCTAACTACAGACAGAATCACACTTGATTCAATCTAAAAAATCCTCAAAGATTTCATTTCTATTCATACTCCTTGGGTTAGTGAAATGTTGTCCATTCTTAATATCCAGAAATGTTAATTTCTTGAGATACTCTTGAAGCACTAAGGAAGGCAGACTAGAACAGTGAAAGATTGATGATTTTGGAGTCTGTTGTGTGTTAAATGTGGACTGTACCTCTTATAAGCTATGTATACTTAGGCAAATTAATCTTTTTGAGATGGCAATATCAGTGTACCACTGAGAATTACTCTGTTACATTGTAACAAAAATTTATTATTAGGACCGTCCTAGCACTTTAGGAGGCCAAGGTGGGCAGATCACTTGAGGTCAGGAGTTCCAGACTAGCCTGGCCAACATGGCAAAACCCCATCTCTACTAAAAATACAAAAATTAGCAAGGGGTGGTGGTGGTGGGCACCTGTAATCCCAGCTACTTGGCTGAGGCAGGAGAATCTCTTGAACCCGGAAGGCAGAGGTTGCAGTGAGCCAAGATGGCACCACTGTACTCCAGCCTGGGTGACAGAGTAAGACTCCGTCTCAAAAGCAAAAAAGGTTTGTTACAATGCTATTGAAACACTAGTCTTTGGTTCCTTGAGCAATAATTGTATTAAAGTCCTCTTTGAATCCTTATCTTTAGATAAGCAAAACTGTTAATGATTATAGATTTGAGGTTATAAAATACGAAGGAACACCAATAGGTATGAATTTAGGGATGGCAGGATGGTGGGTGGATAAGACATGTGAATTCTCAAGTAAGACCAGTAGATTTTGAGTTCTGCCTCTGCCATTTCCTGGCTGTGTGGCCTTGGGCAATGTACTTGTCACTCTGTTGCTTCTGATAGCAAAGGGGATGGTGAAATGGACTCCCAGTTGAAGAAAGATAAGGTTTAAAGTGTGTTCTTTGGCTGCTGTCTGGAGGTTGGATGACAGCAGGAGTCTAAGCAAGGTGAAAGGATACCAGTGTTTCAGGTGAGTCCAGGTGGCTTGGGTGGGGCGTGGCAGAGGCAGTGGGAGAGATAGAGGGTAATAATTAATTGGATTTGGTTGGTGAGACAGTGGTCAAGGGTGACTCCTAGGTTTCTGGTTTGTGTTATTGTAAGAAGAATGGATGAACTTCATTGATTTCTTTTCCCTTTTTTTTTTTTTTTTTTTTGAGACGAAGTTTCGCTCTTGTTGCCCAGGCTAGAGTGCAATGGCACGACCTTGGCTCACTGCAACCTCTGCCTCCCGGGTTCAAGCAATTCTCCTGCCTCAACCTCCCGAGTAGCTGGGATTACAGGAGCCTGCCACCATGCCTGGCTAATTCTGTATTTTTAATAGAGATGGGGTTTCACCATGTTGGCCAAGCTGGTCTTGAAAACCTGACCTCAAATGATCCACCTGCCTCGGCCTCCCAAAGTGCTGGGATTACAAGCTGAAGCCACCATGTCAGGCCTATTTTCTATTTATTGTGATATCTATCATACCTGCCAAAAACATTTTCTATATATTCAATTTAAAGAGTAATAATAAAAATATTTATCCCTTAGGTCAGTCGTGAAAAATAATTGACTAGTATACTTAAAGCCTTTGGGTCCACCATCTTTCTCCGCAGACATACCCTCTGTCCTGAATTTGTGTTCATCTTGCCTTTGCTATTGATTGTTTTCACTACATATCTATCTATTCCTAAATAATATAGTGATTGATTTTGCATGATTTTGAACTTTGTTTATTCTGTTTGGGGTTCACTGAACTTTTCAGTCCAAAGATTTATAGTCAATACAATTTGAAAAAACAAAGAAACCTCTAAAAAGAGAAAAAAAGAATTTAGGGATGGCAACAAGTGTAGTGTGATACAAAATGGCGCACTGATAATGTGACACTAAAAAGGTTTGGGGGTACAGAATGGGATGTCGAAATGCAAATGTATGTGATTTGTTTCATCTTATATTTTGGCATAATTCAATAATATGCCTCTTCATCAGAGACTTAACCAAAAAAGCAACCTTTTGACCGAGTCCTTTTCCAACATTTTAAATGCATTCATTTGTCTTAAACACTGTAAGTTATTTTGTTATTGTGCACAATTGCTAAAAGGACAGTGTGTGAAAAATTAGGAGTAGTCTTAAAATAAATCCTTAATTTGTTTTCAATTCCAGATTGGAACCAGAAATTAGCCACAGTTTCACTGAATCCTCGACCACTTAATTCACTGCCAGAGCTCTACTGTTGTGAAGAGAGAAGCGGCTTTGAAAGAAATGCTTTGAAACTAAAATAACCATGGTATTTGAACAAAAGAATGTCTAGCATTCTTAGGTGACTCTTTTAGACTAAGTTAATGGGAGCAGAACTACTTTTAATGGAAGTGTATATACAGATGACTATAATCCTAAAATGTTTACATGCGGCAAATTCTTTTCAGATTAAGTTGGTGAGCTTAGAGCAGCGAATCAAGATATAGCCTTAAGAGAACTTGATTTTTAGCCCCACTCCCAGTCTTACTGCTGATGCTGGCAAACCATCTTACACTTAGGCCAGTGGTTATACGCCGGCTCAGGTAAGAAGACCATTGCATCTGCGCAATCATTGCACCACTGCTGGGAAAAATAAAAAAGAACCTGGGGGTCACAGCCAATTAGGAAGAAGACTGGCACTAGGGACCCTAAAGGGGCTGTGGATGGAGAAACTCAGGTATAGCATGGGGCTGTAGTGAGATGTGGGGTTGGTAAAAAGGATTAACTGGAAGTTTGTCTGCAGGAGTTAACACCCCTATCTTGGCATGAAGAAAGCCTGACAGCTAGGCATCAGCTCCTCCGGCAGAAAGCTAAAGGGTCTTCTCTAAGGAGAGGAAAGGATCCCAAAGACAGGAACCTTACATTTTGCTTCTGGGGACCTCTGCCCTCCCCTAGTTCCCCAGCACACTAGTTGGCTCCCTCTTCACTCACCCCCAAATAACACCACTTAATTAATAAACTTCTCCCAAGAATGCAGAGTTCCCGCCAAGCATGGTGGCTCACGCCTGTAATCCCAGCACTTTGGGAGACCAAGGTGGGCAGATCACAAGGTCAGGAGTTTGAGACCAGCCTGGCCAACATGGTGAAACCCTGTCTCCACTAGAAACACAAAAATTAGCCAGTGTGGTGGTTTGTGCCTATAATCCCAGCTACCTGGGAGGCTGAGGCAGGAAAATCACTGGAACCCAAGAGGCAGAGGCTATAGTGAGCCGAGATCATGCCACTGCAGTTCAGCCTGGGCAACTCTATCTCAAAAAAAAAAAAAAGAGACCACATGGTGATTACAGCCCTGTTTTTATAACTGCCGTCTGCTACTATCCATTCTGTATTCCTATTCATTCTGTGCTCCTTTTGACTTCAACACACAAGTCAGCAGTCACGGTTCTTTACCTGGTGGAGTGGCCTAAACCTCCATTCCTGAAGGATCTGGTGGTTAGTAGTCCTGCCTGGATTGGGTTTTTGTAGTTTTACCCTAACCTTAATCACAAGGTGTGGTAATGCTGAGGCATCCTAAGTGACCTGTATTCCAGACAGTCTTCCTTTGTGGAGAGGTGGAGTAGCAGTCCAGTTTCCCCTTGGTAATGCAAATCAGCCGCCCCAACCAGCAACGTAACTTCCTTCTTAGCTCGTTGACTCAAGAGGCACAAGGAGCCTACAATGGCTGGGCAGCAGTCTTAAGTCCAGTTCAATGGGAACACTGTGTCTCCCAGCAGGAGCATTCCTCCCTCTGGAACCGAGATCTCTAGGCCAGCAGAGAATAAAGTCCTGAGAACAGTAAGCAAACATTTTGCTAATGGGTTACTAAGGGTAACCATAGTCACACTACTCCCATGTCTACCTCTTGATTCCTGGATCTGTGAATCCCAGCTATGGGAGAGCGAGCACCGTATATTGGACACGGATTCAGAGCATTTCCAGCCTTCTGGAGAAGCTTCCTGCAAGCGCTGCAAGGTATTGCCCCCTAGCTGGTACCACAACTGATTCTTCAAAAGGCGATTCCATGGCTCTGTCAAGCCAGCTGCTTCTGGATACAGTGGGGAACACAGTAAGACCAAAAAATTCCTTAAGCATAAGCATAAGCCCATTGTTGCACTTCCTTGGCTGTAGCATTGAATTCTTTCATCAGAACGCAATGCTGTGTGGAATAGCATGACGGTGGATAAGGCATTCTGTAAGTCCACACATAGTAGTTTTGGCAGAAGTATTGTGTTCAGGGAAGACAAATCCACATCCAGAGTAAGTGTCTGTTTTACTAAGGACAAACCGCTGCCCCTTCTATGATAGAAGCAATCCAATGTCATCAACCTGTCCCCAGGTAGCTGACTGATCACTCCAGGGAATGGTGCCATACTGAGGGCAAGGTTGGCCTTGGCGAGTTGAAATTCATGTTGCTGAGCCCCTGTGTAATCTCCATCCTTGCCACCATGGCTATTTCATTCATGAGCTCGTTGGGTAATGACAGTGATGGCTGGGGAAAGAATCTGACTGGTATCTACAGAATGGGTCAGCCTATCCATTTGATTATTAAAATCCTTCTCTGTTGGCTGGGTGCAGTGGCACATGTCTGCAATCCCAGCACTTTGGGAGGCCGAGGCAGGAAGAATTGCTTGAGCCCTGGAGTTTGAGACCAACCTGGTCAATATAATAAAACCTCATCTCTACAAAATAAATAACTAGGCCAGGCATGGTGGCATGCACCTGCAGTCCCAGTTATTCAGGAGGCTGAGGTGGGATGATGGCTTGAATCCAGGAGTTTGAGGTTGTGGTGAGCTATGATCAAACTTCTGCATTCCAGCCTGAGTGACAAATACTATCTTGTCTCAGAAAAAAAATTAATTAACAAAATCCTCTGTTGAGGTCCCCTTCAATGAACATTCACATGGGACACAAATATCTTTGTGTGTTTTGCCCATTCAGAGAGATCTATCCAAATACCTGTTACCCAAATTTCTTTTTCTTTTTTTAAAAGTATAATAGAGGGGCTGGGTGCAGTGGCTCACGCCTGTAATCCCAGCACTTTGGGAGGCTGAGGCAGGCAGATCACTTGAGGTCAGGAGTTCGAGACCAGCCTGGCCAACATGGTGAAACCCCGTCTCTACTAAAATACAAAAATTATCCAGGTGTGGTGGCAGGCACCTGTACTCCCAGCTACTTGGGAGGCTGAAACAGGAGAATCGCTTGAACCCAGGAGGCGGAGCTTGCAGTGAGCTGAGATTGCACCACTGCACTTCAGCTTGGGTGACAGAGTGAGATTCCGTCTCAAAAAAAAAAAACAAAACAAAAATATAATAGAGACAGGGTTTTGCCACGTTGCTCAGGCTGGTCTTGAACTCCTGAGCTCAAGAGATCTGCCTGCCTCGGCCTCCCAAAGTGCTAGGATTACAGGCAAGAGCCATCACGCCTGGCCCCTCTTCTCCAAATGTGTCACTAAATTTCCAATCATGTTGGGCCATCCAGCCAAACCACTGGCTACGGCCCATGAATTAATATTTAATTGCACATCTGGCCATCTCTCCTTCTAAGCAAAGTGCATAACCAAGTCTGCTATGCAGTTATGCCCCACTGGGAGGATTTCTCTTTACCGCTGTCCTTCAGGGGATGCCCCTGCGAGGGACTGTGGTGCTGTAGCTGTCCACTTTCGGGTGGGGCTGCGTATCATGCGGAACCATCTGCCAACTAGGCCCAGACTTCTTTTTCGGTGTCAGCTGATAATAGGAAACTCCCCATGAAGCCACAGGTGCAGGCTGAGAAAGGGAAGGCAGTGTAGAAGGAGTGGGGACCACCAGCATTTAGACCACTTCACGTAACTTACTTGTGCCTTCAGGGCCTGTTGGGGCCTAATCACATATATACCACTTCTATTTGAGAATGGGATGTTGCGTTGCTATGCACACCCAACTTACGACTTGGTGGGTCAGATAACATCAGTTCACGATGGGCAGCTAGAGTTGCATGGTAATTTGGTGGCCCATGGTCAAGCATTCAGTCTCTGCCAAAGCCCAGTAGTAGGCCAAGAGTCGTCTGTCAAAAAGAGAGAAGCTATCCAAGGATGTTGGCAGGGCCTTGCTCCAAAACAAATTTTTTTTTTTAACTTTTTTTCTGTCTTTTTTGGGTAAACCAAACCAAATAAAACAACTATTTGAAATTTCACACTAGAGATTTTGCTGGTCCCCCAAATAAAAACATTATTTCCTGGCAAAACAATCCCCAATTGCAATGATGGTGGCTCCCAGTTCATCAGACTCTACCAAGCAATGCACTCTCATTCTCCACACCTGGGGTAACTATTGCCATTCATGCAAACCACAGCCAGAAGGGATGAATAAACGGTTTAGCAAAAACCTACACACTCAACTGGAGCCAGTTCTGTTACATCCATTGGGTTCCTCTTTTCTTTTGTTCACGCTTATGAACTTGGAATGTCCACACTTGGCTTGACAGAAGCAGCACAGGGGCAGCTTGAACCCCTCACAGGACGGAACTGGGCAGGTTTCCTGAGCCCAGCCCAGGAAACCAGGCAGAACAAAAGTGTCCCAGGGTTTCTCTGGAGAAGCAGCTGCAGCAGCAGCAGCACCAGGCCTGTCTCCCATCTCTTGGTCTCATCACTCAGGGGAGGCCCAGAGAAGCAGCAGAGTCAGCCAAGGAAAGGGCCCCCCATTACAGTGCAGCGATGCCAGCTGGCGTCTTCCTGCTGAAGACCTCTGGACAGAGATGATCCCAATGTTTGGCAGTGATCCATAGAAAACCCTCTGTATGGAGGGGAACCAAAACAGGAACCTAGGACAGCTGGTTTGAGCCTTGAGCACCGCTGTTGGCAGACACCTACTTGGGGTTTTCATAGAGACTAAGGGGATGGGAGTGTGAAGGAATGGGAGTGATGGTGCTGCTGCTTCTCAAGCTCCATCTTAGCATCCCTCTGTAGTTGGAGAGCTAGAAGCTGCTGCAGCCTCTTTGTCCTGCTCTGGGGGTGTGGCTGGTGGCATGTTGCAGAGTCTACCTGTGGAGCTTCCAGCCTCAACCCTGGTCAGCACGGTGAGTGTGCTACCAGAAGTCACAGGGAATGAGGAACTCCAGCTTTGCCCGTGGGAAGGGGTCTGCAGGCTTTCCCCGCAGGCCTGAATGGAGTGGCATGGAACACACAGAGTCAGTGTTATATATTTTACATATTTTCTTAATGGTTACCATGAGGATTACAATTAACATCCTGAATTTGTAACAGTATTATCTTAATTGATACTAACTTAGCTTCAATAATGTACAAAAACTTGGCTCCTATACAGCTCTTTCCTGACCTTGTCATTGCCACAAATTACATTTTAATGCACTGTACCCAATAGCATAAATTTTTATTATTTTTTATGCATTTGTCTTTTAAATCTTGTAGAAAAGAAAATGTGGAGTTGCAAATCAGAAATACATTAATACTGGCTTTTATCTTTACTGGAGAACTTAATTTCTTCACTCAGCTTGAAGTTACTGGCTAGTTTCATTTCAAACTGGGAGACTCCCTGTAGCACTTTTTTTGTTTGTGTTTTTTTTGTGTGTGTTTTTTGAGACATTCTTGCTTTGTCATCCAGACCGGAGTACAATCTTGGCTCACTGCAACCTCCGCCTACCCAGTAAAACTGATTCTGCTGCCTCAGCTTCCCGAGTAGCTGAAATTACAGGTGCATGCCACCATGCCTGGCTAATTTTTTTATTTTTAGTACAGATGAGGTTTCGCCGTGTTGGCCAGACCAGTCTCAGCTCCTGGTCTCAAGCACTCCACCCACCTCAGCTTCCCAAAGTGCTGGGATTATAAGCATGAGCCAGGGTGCCCAGCCCTACTCCCATTTTTTTTTAAAGAATATGTTTATTTTGTTTCACTTTTTGAGACAGAATCTCACTCTGTCACCCAGGCTGGAGTGTAGTGGTGCAATCTTGGCTCAATGCAACCTCTGCCTCCTGGGTTCAAGTGATTCTCCTGCCTCAGCCACCCTAGTACCTGGGATTACAAACGCCTGCCACCATGCCTGGCTAATTTGTTTGTATTTTTGGTAGAGATGAGGTTTCACCATATTGGCCAGCTGGTCTTGAACTCCTGGCCTCAAGTGATCTGCACACCATGGCCTCCCAAAATGCTGGAATTACAGGTGTGAGCCACTGCATCTGGACATGTAGCACTTTTTAAAGGGAAAGACCTTTGGGTAATATTCTTCCTCCACTTTTGTTTATCTAGTTATGTCTTTAATTTCTCCTTCATATTTGAAAAATAATTTTGCCAGATATTCTTAGTTTTTTTCTTTTAGTACTTTAAGTAAATACTATCTCATTTTTTGTTCTGACCTGTATGATTTTTGTAAGAAATCAGCTTTTAATGTTACTGAGGATCCCTTGTACATGATGAATAACTTCTGTCTTGATGCTTTCATGATGCTCCATCTTTGTCTTTTGACAGTTTGATTATGCGTCTCAGTGTAGATCTCTTTTGTGTTTATCCAGCTTTGAATGGATTAAGCTTCTTGGATTTGTAGATTCATTTCCTTCATCAATCTTTGGAAGTTTTTGATTATTTCTTCAAATATTCTGTCTCTTTCTGGGACTCCCATAATGCATGTTGGTCCACTTGATAGTTGTCCCACAGGTCCCTTAGGCTTTGTTCACTTTTCTTCCTTTTCCTTTCTGCTCCTCAGACTGAGTAATTTCAGTTGTCCTATCTTCAAGTTCACTGATTCTTCCTTCTGCTTGCTCAAATCTTCTGTTGAATTCCCCTGTAAATTTTTCATTTTAGTCACTGTACTTTTCAGCTCCAGAATTTCTATTTGGTTCCTTTTTATCAATTCTCTTCATGGATATTCTTTTGTTCATACATCATTTTCCTGGTCTCCTTAAGCTCTCTGAGCATATTTGAGACAGCTGATTTAAAGTCCTTGTCTAGTAAGTCTGATGTATCATCTTTTCAGGGATGGTTTTAGTCTTTTTCTTTTTTTTTCTTCCTCTGAGACCATAATTTCCCATTTCTTTGTAATTTGTTGCTGTTGCTAAAAATGAACATTTGATTATAATGTGGAAACTCTGTAAATCTGTTTTTCTTTTTCCTAGGGCTTGCTGTTCTTGATTGTTGAAGGCTAAGATTATGTTACTGATTTTTTCAAACCTTTTTTGTTTTGTTTTTGCAAAAACTGTATACCTTACATTAGTTACTGAAGTCTGTTCCTTTAGATTGTGTTCAGCCAGTGCTTTGACAGAGATTCCCTTAATTCCTAGGATCACACACACACACACACACACACACACACACACACACACACACACAC